TTCGCCTAAGATGTAAAATACAGACCTTCTTTAAAGGTGGGAGAGACCTATCAATATTTCTCTTTGGCCCCCTTTGTTACGAACTGATACACATGATTCTCAACGCATTTTATTGACCAATACACCACACCTCGATTTGTGACATGAAAGAACTAGTTATGTAGGAAGCTTCAGCCTTCATGTAAGAATTTGAAATCAACCAAAGATCATGAAACAAACAAAGATTTAAGGCATAGTATTCTGCAATAATCTTAGTATTCATTAATGCAAGATAACATAAAGCTTCTGAAACAAAGAAACAAATGAATGTTGTTCATATCTAAGGTTAAATTTATTGAGTGAAGAGTCGAAAAGCTTAACATGAGCTGAGCTTAAATGAAACAATCAAGATTCATTATAAAGTCCAAAAAGCTCTTAAGCTCTATACTGTGGGTGTTGCTCGGACTCTCCAAAATTGCTGCAGTATCCCTATCGGATCATCCAAAAAGGTACACATATGACGGCATTTTTGAACAGTCAAAGCAACATGCACAATGGGATGCAGAACATCATAGAAGAGTTCTTCAATTATTGAAGAATATAAAGAGGTCCTACACTTGTGAAAGGTGGTTAACTTCAAAATACACATGATGATTTATCCTTGAGATAGTAACATCTGAAAAACATTATCAATATCAAGAATTTCCAAATATTGGAAAAAAGGAGTGTCAAGAGATGAGATAATTTCTGCTATCTCCATGAGTACAATCTAGCACTGAGTACAGCCACAATGATACGATGCATCACCATTTTAATGCTCACAGAAATACCAAATCAAGTAAGCCACAGGAATGAATTATATGGATAAAATTTCAATTTATTGAGGACATCAAGAGCAGGCATACCAACAAAACTACCATTTGCATGGTTATTTACAGAGGTAAAAGACAAATTCGCGCGATTATTTAAACAAGTTTTTTTTTTTTTCTCTTTTCATACGACTTGTAGCTGGAAAGCTTGGACCTGTCGGATAAGGAAACTAATGGTAGAAGACTAAGCAGCAAACTGGAAAAGGTATCATGAAACTCAAGGAAAAGAGTACATTTCCTACCGATACGCCTAAAGAAACTCAGAAATATCAATGACATACGGGGAATGGGGGGGAGGGGTGTGCTTGGGAGGCCGAACATGACAAGAAGAACGCAAATCAGTTTAGCCTCCTCCTCCTAGGTGCACGTGAATCTCCACTATCCACATCTGAAATTCTGGAAGCATCGTTTCTTCTTCTGGAAGATGATGTAGAAAGGGACACCCTAGAATCTATTTCTGCAGCAGTATCCACTGTTTGACTCTCTGAGTGTATAACAGCAGCAATACTCGAAACAGAATCTCTATCTTCAACTGGTAGAGGCTGCTCCTGATTTCTCTCCACAGTGCTACTACGGAAGTATGGCTCAACCAGCCTTCCACCAGAACCAAAGGCAGAAGCAAGATTGGCATAATTAGCAGCTCGATGTGAATTTGATCTACGGAGTAAAAGAGAGGAAAGACGACGGGTTTCCCACACATCAGAGTTAGTTGGACTGGTCTGTGTCAAGTCAACCACGTCATCAGAAGGCAGAACAGGATTCTGTTCTCTGCGTCCCCTGGAAGTAAGAATACGGTTGAGCAGTGAGCTGCTTCGCTCAGGTAATTCATGAGAACCTTCAGAATTTTGTTGTTGTAGCTGAGACAAATCAAATCTACTGCCAAGACGGCGAATCATTTCTTCCATTGGAATGGTGAATGCTGTCCTTTGAATAGTCTGCCTCCAGCTCTCGACTCGCCTTGCTTGAGGCCTATGAGGGATTTTCAGAGTTGAATCCTCTTCAGGCTCTCGCACATTAGTTCCACGTCCATAAATTGGGATTACATTCTTCATAGTCACTTCCCCTTTACAAACAGGGCATTCCTTTGCATCTGAATGGAGATGTAACCACCGATAAAGACATGGCCAACAAAACAAGTGACCACAACAAGTCACAACAGGTTCTTTCGACAAGTCCAGACATATATTGCAATCAAAGAAGCTTCCCCCCTCCTCACTAGTAACCTTTTCACTGTCTTCTTTTTTCCCCAGAATCTCATCATGTGAATACCCGTTATTGTTATCGCATGTATTTTCCACCTCCGAGGGTCTCTCCTCAGTAACAACATCATCTGTTTGTGATTCACTCCTACCAATGAACTCCATCGCAATACTTCTAGCTTCTGCAGGAACAGGAATGTTTCTCAAAGCTGACCGCCATCTGCTCCTCCTTTGCCTAACAACTTCCCTAAATCGATAACCATCTAACAAATCCTCTAAATTCATATCCTCAATGGGAAATGTTGCTGGAACAGGCTCAGAATCATCAGTAGGACTTTCAACAGGTCCCAAATTCAGATCAAGATTCATCGTATTTGGTGTACTATCCCCCATGGCAATTCAACCAACAACAAAAATAAAGAGCTACAACATGCTCCAATTTCCAAGCTAAACCATGTAAAAGACTCGAGCTTTCCCACTATACCAAATGAAAAAAAAAAAAACAAGATTCCCTTTTAAATCAATTCAAATGAAAACCCTCAAACTTCTACTACTATTCCACTCAGAAAAATCAAACCCCAAATTCAAGCAGCTAAAATTTGAGCAGAAACCCTAACATTTCTCAGGTCAGAACAAAATCAATTAAAAACCCCCAAAATTAACATAACCAACAACCAAAACCTAGAGCAACAATTCCAAGAAAGGTGTAATCTTTTCTGGGTAAATCACATTAATAACAAAAACCCAACAATTAAACACAAGAAAATCGAAAAGGGTCACTAAGATTGTGAGCCTAGATGAGAATAAAGTTCTACAATCAGCTGAAAACCCACAATTTAGAACCCCTTTTTGTAAAATTAAAATCAAATTAAATTTTAGGGTTTTTTGTTTAACAAAGTAAAACAAAAAGATAGAGAGAGAGAGAAAGAGACCTTGAGCAGCAAGATTGGATTTTGATGAAAGAAATCAGGTATAATTGCTATGAAATTAGCAAAAATTTCAGTTGATTTGCCATGTCTGAGTGAATTAGGGATCTGGTCCACTAGTATAGAGAAAGAGAGATTTTGGTGTCTAATTCGGGTTAAATTCCGACCCGAGAAAGTAGAGAGAACAGCTCAGATACAGAGGAAGGTGAAGAAGGGTTGGGGTTGGGGATGGGGGTGGGGTTATTGCCTAAGCACACGTAAGCAACTTTTTGGTAATTTTCTTACATCCCAAAATTTGGGGTGTCCCCAAATTCATGCCATGTCATCATCCACGTAGGCAAGTGGGTCCCACTTTTCACTTATTCTTTTATTCGATTTTCAATCTAGTGTCTGATACTTGTGTTGGAGTTTGATCGGGTAGTGTTCTCTATTTAAGTTTTTTTCCCCCATATATGGGGTTTGAAGAATTTTTCAATTATACAACGTTGAAATTTCTAATTGCAAAAGAGTTTGATCGGATAGCGTTCTCTATTTAAGTTTTTTTTCCCATAGGGTTTGAAGAAATTTTCAATTATACAAGGTTGAATTTTCTAATTGCAAAAGATTAAGAAAGGGAATTGGACGTGTGAATAAGGTTTCACGGTTAATAGTTGAAGAGAAACTCAACTTATATAAGGTACATATGGATATTGTTAGTGGTGTGAGATTTGTTTAGGAAAATTGTATAGGTTTAATTCCAAATAGATAATATTACACTATGTTAAATGTATATTTTAAAATTATTTTAGTATAATAACGATTATCAGAGTCGATAATTTTGATAAGATGAGTATGAAGATGATAGAGTATTGGTGTGCGCTCGACTTACTATCTTTGTTGGTCTATAGATCGATTTTGTAACTATCTTTATCGATCTATAGGCCAAATTTATAACTATCTTAATCGATCTATAAATTAATTTTGTAACTATTTTTACCTTAACATAAATATACAAGAAAAAATTATGGGCTTTAATAATCATAAATTTTCAAAATGATGCACCGTGAATTTTCAAACTCAGAAATTCTGAAATTGAAAATGCGTCTCTTGAATCTTAGTTTGTGGGGAAAAAAATGTATTAGATATGTGGATAAAATTTCACATTGCTAATAGTTAAAAAGATAAAGACTTATGGAAAAAATATATATGCAATTTTAGCTTAAAATGAATAATATTATACTATATTAAATGTATTTTAAAATTATTTTAACCCAACAATAAAAACTCTCTTATTCTGCAAAAGTTTCTTAGGCCCACCATAACTTGGAAAACTATTAGATGCATGTGAAGCTGCTAAGCTCCCAAGTCCCAATTATTGGGCTTCAGATCAGGGGTACATGGTCAAGTTGAAATTACCAGTTCAATCGAATTCAATATTTTTGATTTTATATATATATATATATATATAATTTAATTTAATTTAATATATACGAGATTCTAATTAAATGCATGATTTCAAAAGAATGCATTCATCAACGATATATAGTCTAAGTTGAGGAAACTATATTCAAAGAAAAAAAAAATTTGACTTGAAATAATGGTGAAAGAAAAACGTAATTATTGATAGAATTTAACCAAACACAATATTTTCAATACTACGTCTAAATATTTATGTGAAAGATTACCAAAGATTCAATGTATACGGGATCTTAAAATTCGTATAATTCTAAAATTGTATTGAGTTTAGTGGTACATAATTTTGTTTAAGAAATAATAATCAATAAGAAAAGAATCGTACGTCTGACAAATAGTAATTACTTTGGCTCAACCAAATCCAACGTTTTCGATACGATGTTTAAATATATGTATGAAAAAATCACTGAAATTCCAATATACATAAGATTTCAAACACATTATTTCAAAGTACAATAAATACATAAAGTTCAAACACATCAAATAGAAATTACACACAGCCACAACGTAACCCTCAAATAATTATTAATAATGTTACATAAGATAATTAATCTAAACAAATACTAAAACTTCTTTTAATTGACTCTCTTACAATCTAATCTAATTTCTCCATTAGTCCCTGTTAATGGACTAATATTCCCCATATTAATCATTGACTCCACAAAGCTCTGAAAAAAGACATTTTGGTCCCTGCTAAATGTGTTAATAATATTGGTAATTTCTGATGCACCATTTTTTGAAAATAATTTTTGATCTGACTCCAAAAGGCCTTTATTATTTTGCAAATTTGCAAAATAATTGTTATCAAATTTATTTGGAGTTGTAAGATCAAGATTAGCCAAAGGAGTGTTACTTCCTTTTTTTGGACATATTTTCATTAATTTGGCTAAATAATTAGTGTTTAATGTTGGATCAGGCTTTCCAGTACCATTAAAATTGTAAAGCCTCTGTCTAAATAAACGACATTGGGCACGTCCAAATGTGTGAGCACCTAATGCCAAAATAAAAATAAAAATTAGCGACGAACGACATAACATTTGGCGATGAGTAAACATGCTTGTACAACTGATATATCTAACGATAAATTAGGTAGCTAATTCTTGACTTTTTTTTTTATATATAGTTCTTGAGCCGAGATTTGTGTATTCAACCTAACTTATTTACGATTGATCGAGATATAGCTATAGTTGATATTGTGAAAATGTTAAGTATGATATACTGATTTGTGAGTGAAAAATATTTATATGGAAATACATACATTAAAGATTAATAATGACTATGTGTAATAAGTCGTTGGATCAAGTAATATGAAGTTATTAATTAAGATTAGAAAGGACAATAACTTCTACCATAAGTGAAAAAAGTCGTCTACCCCCTTTTAATAGACAATGTTTTCAATATCTATGATAATCAATTATTAGAAAATGATTTTCGTTATATCAAAATTCAAACATGTCATAATCATTGATTCAACTTATATACATTAAAAGCTACACATAATTCTTTATATAATATTTTAATAACCTATTTGATTTTTATATTATATTTTTATTTTTACTTATAATTATCTTTTAGATGATCTGATATATACCTGATAACGCGACTAGATCAGTAATACTAAGGCCAACAGCAGAAAACTTTGTAGTAATTTTATTTATGCTTTCAAAAGGAGAAGGAATAGAAATATTAGCTCCTCCTTGATTTGCTCTTCTACTATCTCTTCTCCCTAATAACACATTCCATGAAGGACCACCTGCCTGCACCCCATTAAAATAATCAACAACAAAAATAAATTAACAATATTGGTCAAAATTTTATATTTATGTTCGAAAGTTCATTTAATATACATCGATGCTTTATTAAAAATTCAACAATTAAACTGCCTTTCAAAAATTCATAAGATATTTAAATTCGAAATTCTAACTCTGTCTTTGTTCCTTAAACAAGTTTTTAAATATTCTATCAATATTTTAAATACGTATTAAAGTCTAGTATCACCAAAAGGTCAATAAAGTGTTTGTTGGTTTTTTTAATTTTTGAAGAATCTGACACGAATGTATTTTGTACTTTAAAATTATATTATATTAATAGAAGTGAATACTATTACATACCAGAGAAACGGATGATTCAGCAGCAAGAGCGAGAATATCAGCACAAGAGACAACACCGGGACAACAATTCTCAACAGCAACCTTAATGTTATCAACAACATTAAAACCCCTTACGGAATTAGCATTTGGAGCTGCATCTTTTTCACTTACTATATTTGTTTTTGCATTATTATCCAACAATATTGATGCATCACATCCCTAATCATTCACCAGAAAAAATAATAATTAATATCCTTAATATAACGTTGTGAGTTTGAAATTTAAAATTTAAATGTACGTTGTGAGTTCTAAATTGATCGAACATGCTCAAAGTTCTAATATGTATATATTATACTTTTTTTAACTTGAAAAATTATGATTGGATCTGTTACCGCCAATAAGAAATTTAGAAATAGAAATTCGATAATAAAATGTTGGCAACATTTACGTACATTAACAAAGCAATCATGAAAATGAAGTCGGAGGAGACTAGCACCAATACGTGCATCAGATTGCAAAGCTTCTTGAATAACACATCGAACAATATCCGAAACATTTGGACAATTATTTTGATAAAAATTGGAATTCAATTGAGCATTTGACTTGGAAAAAAAGCTCAACACTACAAGCAAAATGCATATTATTACTGAGAAATTAAAAGAATAATAATAAGAAGACATTTTAATTTGTTTGGCCAAGAAAGCTATATATTAAGCTATAGACTATCTTTTGCTTATAGCCTCAATATATATAGGGAAAGGATTTACATACACTAGTTATTAAAAGACTATTGTACTCGTGATCCTTGAATGTCACGCTCTGAACTGAACAATAGAACTCTGAATAAAAAATGTCTAGTTTAGGATGTGAGAGAGGGTGTTGATGGAAAGTGTTCCACATCGAAAGAGGATAAAAAAGGGCTCTTTATAGGGCTTGGACAATTCTCCTCCCCTATGAGCTAGCTTTGGGGTGTGCGTTAGGTCCAACACTTAATTTGCTTCTCACGTAACATGATCGAAACCTCGTCATTCTTGAAAAGAATAAATCGTAACTCGAATTTGATGCCCCTAAACAATAGCAATAGCAAGAATCCTAAGCTAGAGACAAAGAAATAATTTCACTAACCATCATGTCATAATTCATGTACAAACCATCCTTTAATTATTAAGCATCTCATAACAATTCATTCATTATTTATTATTAGTACACTTTATTCGTCCTAAAAATGTTTAACTTTAAAATTCCCCTTTATCCTTATGAAATATTATATAGTCATACAAATTCATTCATTATAATGTTGATAACAGTGAATCATATGATCCTAAGGGTCGTTATTGTCCGAAAGATTATAATTTTTGAACTAATTTAATCTTGAAATATCTCACTTTATCTCGCGTACCAATTGAATTTTGGTGTTTAGAGGAAAATAGTGCCTTTATTGACAATTTCTTTGTCATAATCAAAAAAGGGAACTGATGATCTTGGGATATTTTGCTTTTTTTTATATATGTGTACAGTACTTCTCGTGATATTAGAAGTAAATACTATTCCTACAATATTTGTTGTTTGTTAATTAAATAGTGGCAAGAAAACAAATGTACTAGTAATATTTAGCAATATGATAATTATTCTAATATTAGTAAAATCTTAACAACTTCTTCAAATTTTAATTATTTTTTTTTAGCATAAAGTATTGAAGAAGATTCTCCATAATTAAAGGAAATCAAAGTGTGGATCTTTTTGGTTCCTTTTCAGACACTAAATTGTATTTAGTGATTCTAACACGGAAAAGATTACTATTATTACTTCTTCCGTTTTAATTTATTTGTTTCATTTTGATTTGACACGAAGTTTGAGAAAGTAATGAAAACGTTTGAATCTCGTGCTCTTAAACTAATGATATATAGAAATGTATTAGAATGTCTTTTAATCTTGTGTCTTTAAACATGTCATGTGAAAAATTAAAATTAAAGATTTTTCTATTTGAAATAAAGAAAATGGAGTACTTCTTTTGGGGGGGGGGGGTTCCATTTGGTGTCTGATATTCGTATTGAGGCTCGATTATATTTGGACTCGTGCAGAGTCTCACATTGGAGGGTTAGCTAAACACGACTCTATTCTCGAGAAGGGAGCCGGAGTGAAGTCAACATAATTCAATAACTTTGGTTCAAACTCTATATTTGTCTTAATAAATTCACTAAATCTGTAATTTAAAAGAACTATAGAATCCTAAACCCGTAAATTAAACTTTAAATTCTTACTCCGTCCATGTTTCACAGGTTCAAATCTAAGACATCTTGATCGATTATTACTATTTCATATATAGTTGGATTGTACATAACTAAAACTAAGATTAAGTTAAAATTACGGATTTGAGGTTCACGCTTTTAATTACCCTATTTGACTAATTGTTTGATTATCCAAAGATTACGAATTTATGAGCTTTGTATTTACTCTTCTAACAATGAATAAACAGTACGAATTTCATTTTTAAAAAAGGATTAATTACTTTTAGAAGTTAATATCAAAGTTTTAAAAAAATTCATGGTAATTAGTAGCTGTAGCTTTGTATACAAACATTTTAAATTTATTCTTGCTTAATAATCCAATATATAAAGTTGAGAAACCTACGAAGATTCTAATTACTACACTGTTAATCCTAATTTATGTGACATAATTTAAATTACACGATTTTAAAAAATAACTTTTGAAACTTAACAAGACAACACAAGCTAAGGTTGAAAGTTGAAACTAGTTAATTCAAATAATTACCCAATCAAAACATTCACTTTTAAAATGAACCTAGCTAGAAAAGTTCATTACAGTTTACGCGCTAATTAAAAGAAGATGAATTAGTGACATAAGTGATTTATCTTCATCGGGACGGATCATAACATACTCTTCACATAATAAATTCACTTTAAAGTTAACTTAGTCACTCGATAAATTATTAAAGTGTATATGAAATCCTATAAGGGTCCATATCTCAATAACACCTTTTGTCTAAAAATTCGAAGTAGCCTTCATATTCAAAATCCAAATTTACTAAAAATAACGAATTTTTACTTAATTATGAAACTTAACAACATTTTGATTTCAAAACATAGTTGAATATTCTGTATTCACGTGCATAATAATAGTGAAATACATGTATAGTATATAATATTTTTGTAATAACAAAATACATTGTATTTGTACATATAATAATAACAAAAGTATTATATCTGTGCGCATATAATATCTTTGCTTAATTGTATTCCTTTTTTTTAAATTTATATATATGTATATATATTATAATTTTTTAAAACTACCGCTATTTCAAATTAATATATGATAAATACCTATTATATTCAATTGGGTTTCTTTGTTTTTTCCTCTCTAAACACATGAATTTTGCCTCAATCCATAATTAGGGCTTGAAATTATATAAATTAATAAAGTGCGGTTCGAAATTAGATGCATAATACAACAAGGTCTTTTATTTTTCTTTCCTTAAATATCTAACCTTTTGTCGTTAAATATCAAATTTTTTTATTTGTGACAAGATTCTAACAATTTGCTATGTACGTATGCGACTTGAAATTGTAAGCTTCTAACTTCTTTTTTTAGTTTCATTGCGAAGTCAGGATTCTAAATAAAATATTGGTACATATTGAATTTAGTCGAACTCGTATTTGTTGATGTTTTGATACCAGTAGATTCTTATTTTTGCAATTTGAATGTTTCAACTTTGTCATAATAAAAGACTAAAACTCTTATGTAAAGTATGAGAATTTACTAGAAGGAATCAAAGACCTAATTATCAAAATAATTATTAGCAATATGTGATCACTGTTGTGTGTAGTGTGTTTAGGGGCGGAGCTAGGTAGGGTTTGACAGAAAATTACACGGTTTATGCATGATTAAATTTATTACATGTTGAACCCTTTTGGATTCTTCGTGTGTTTACTTTTATATTTTGAACCTGATCTTAGTGAAAAATCCTGGTGTGTGTTGTATATCTAGAGGGTAGAATTCACGTATCTATACACGCTACGTGTGGTTTCATAGAAACTCAATAACTTTTGCTCAAAACTTGTATGTATATCAAAATATCCACTATATATATAGAAATATTTGAACGAGAACTTAGTTATTATTATTGTATATTAACTTGAGATCGCTGTTGGAATCCATAAACTTCAACTCGTTGATTCACCTCTGATGCTTGTGTGTACCTGCTTTCTTGATACAAGTTGCTAAGTGATAGTCAATGGTGCTACTTGTAGATTTGTTTGTGATTGTTCTTGAGTTAGCCCCTTATACTCATTGTGCTCTTCCATATCTTGTTGTGGCAGGGTAAAAATACATCAATCTTGCATTTTTTCGACTTTAATCCTAGCTCTTTGTTGCCACAATCTTATTGTTTCGAGTTTTGTTCTGCAGGACTATTGATTGGCAATGAGTATGGATTGCGATTCTACTATGTCCAGTCCGAGTAACAACTTGAACAATGGAATTGACAAGCAGTACCTTGCTTCTCCTATTAAGAATTCAGTGGACAAGTATCAACTTATTCCAGAATTTCTAAAGGTGAGAGGATTGGTGAAGCAACACTTAGCCTCGTTCAATTACTTGGTTAAGACGGATATAAAGAAGATTGTCCGCGCAAATCATGAGATTAGATCAAGTACACGCGATCCTAATATTTATCTTAGGTACAGAGATGTCCGTATTGGTGAACCATCGATGACTTATGATGGTGTAAGGGAGAAACTAAGTCCACAGAAATGTCGACTAGCTGACCTTACCTATGCAGCTCCAATTTTTGTCACAGTTGATTATACAATGACAAGGAACGGGCAGATATCAATGTTAACACAGAAGGATGTTGTCATTGCACGAATGCCTATTATGCTAAGAAGTTGTTTGTGTGTGCTTTATGAGAAAGATGAAGAACAACTAGCAAAACTTGGAGAATGTCCACTTGATCCGGGAGGATATTTTATTGTCAATGGCAGAGAGAAGGTAATTTTAATTCAAGAGCAGCTCTCGAAGAACAGGATAATCATCGATACAGATAGAAAAGGTTGTGTACAAGCATCTGTTATCTGCAGCACAGAAAAAACAAAGAGCAAAACAATTATAAAAATGGAGAAAGAAAAGGTATACTTAGAGTTGAATATGTTCAAAACCAAGGTCCCCATAATGGTTGTCATGAAGGCCATGGGAATGGAGAGCGATCAAGAGGTTGTGCAAATGATAGGAAGAGATCCTCGCTATAGTGCTTTGCTTTTGCCATCAATCGAGGAGTGTGCAGATCTCAAGTTGTATACACAACATCAAGCACTAGAGTTCCTCGAGAGTGACAAGATGCTTACAATGCCTTCATATTATAATGCTCCAGTTGAGAAGGGAGCCCGAGCTTTGAGTATTCTTCGTGACATGTTTCTTGCACATGTTCCAGTCCATCAACATAATTTCCGCAAAAAATGCATATATGTTGCAGTAATGATGAGGCGCGTGATGGAAGCAATCTTAAACAAGGATGCAATGGATGACAAGGACTATGTGGGGAACAAAAGATTGGAGCTCTCCGGTCAGCTACTATCTCTCCTTTTTGAAGATTTGTTCAAGACGATGAATGATGAAGTTAGGAGGGAATTTGATGCTAGCTCCAAATCTTCCGACCTGTTATATC